TGTTAGGAATGATGTCATCAATAACATGACCGTGAGTGCAAAATAAAGATCCAAGTCTCTTCCAATGGATTTTCTCTTGTAGGTTTTCAATGAATAACGTGAAGCATCCACTTCTGTACCCATTACTAACATTTGTATGGCCTTCCTTCCACCAATTATTAAATTCGAATCTCTCAGTTCTTGCTCCTTCACCAGAGTTGTTACCACTACACCCCTTTGTGCTAAACTCCTTGATTCCAATGTGGACAACATCTTCGGCAGGTTGAGCTGCTGATGCCTCTACTAAAGCTTGCTTCCCAATCCCATAATTCCTTCGTTGTGAAGGAGGGAAACCTTCAGGCCTAAATTTATTGTATGCCTTTCTGCTGGCCAAAAAAGTCTCCTTATTCGCCGACGAAACGTCCAATCGGGATCTGGTATGCTTGTCCTCACTCGACCTCAACTTCACCATAACACCTCCCATTGTACCACCTTGATAATTTCCTGATCTAAAAGCACTTGCCGATTGCTTCTGATTACCACCAGATCCACCATTGACAGATTCCTTCACAACTGGTGGATTCTTCCATACATGGCCCTCAGCGAGAGCTTGCATACAATCACGGTAAATCCTCGCAGCAGTAGTGTTATACTTGGTAGCGATATCAGTTTCTTTGGGAATACCATATTGTGCCAAAAAAGAGTTGAGCTTGTCGTTGGTACCTGATTCCATTTTCTTGATCTGGATGTCTGACCACGAGTTCATGTTAACAGATTGAACGGACGAGATATGTAAACCTAAGCCTTGGTGTTTGCAGGAACATTCTGAGCACATGAAAACACCGTAGGTTACCGAAGCCCACTGTGGATTTTTATTTTTCAGTCAACACAAACTGTAATCGGCTTGTAGCTGCCGACCTTGAAACAAAGTTCTCGGACGGAGCCTTTAACCTTAATCTTGCCTCTCATTTGGCTAAACCCAAAGGTGAGTGGGCGTAGAAACTCCCCGGGAACACCATACCTCGGATCCGAGATGATCCCGCGAGGGATATAGATTTTGTAATTCCATAATTCTGCGAAGGAAACTGTGGTAATGGCAAAATCCCGTTAGAGCTCTCAATCTCCATATATTTCTTTGCAAATTCAGTCGGTGGGACCTTATCACTGTTGCTAAGCCAACCATCTTGCAGCTTCTTGTACGCTTCATTTATCTTCCCTTGCTTCTCGCACAAGATGTGCCTCGCTTTAACATAAGTGCAAGTGCCAAGGCCATCTCCCTTCCCGGCTTTCCCTTTACCCTTTGAAGCAGTCTCATCACTTCCACCTCCAGCTTGCTTGCCTTTCCCCTTGGCTTCCTTCGATTTTGAGTACTTCCCCATCTCTCAAAAACCTTGAGCAGACTGCAAACACAATCGACGAGACAAAACCAAAGACGACGATGTTTCAGATAGGTGTCTGCGAGACCAGGTTTTAATAAAAATGGTAGTCCCGGAGAGCAACAACGAAACTCGATTCTATGATAAGGGGGTTGTGATCGCCAAAAGACGCAGAGCTTGGTGGTGAGACGGTGCCAAACACGGACGGCGGTTGGCTGCGAAAATCGGCAGTGAACAAAGTTAAGATCTGTGCCGATTGAAAGACTTTATCGCAAATCTAATCTCAGATTTGGAATCTCCGTAAGCAGACGATCTTCCCTGAGAAAAACGGCGTCGAACTAAGATCGGAGTGCGGCGGCGGACGACGGATGGCGAACGGTGACAGTGGACAACGAAACGGTGATAACGGTGGTACGGCCACCGAAATTCCCAACCTAGATAGAAGGGAGAGGGAATCAAGTTTGAAAAAAAGAGTACACCAAGAGAGAGACGGGACCTTCTCTCACTAGCTTTTTGATTGATAGGCTTAGTTTTTAAATAATATATAAAACCATCTTCATTTGAAAATGCTTTTTTCTTTAACTTTGACGATGAAAAAGAATTCCCTTTTTTATTCTTCACATGATTACAGAAAACTTAGTAGTTGTAAAATTCTCTCAAGTCATCTGCTGAAGTAGATGAGGCATTCTTTTAAGAGTTTCTTACACCTATATGAACATAGGAACCATTTTAACGGAACTGTTGGTATTTAGATCCGATCTCTTGGTTCCATTGACTGAAAGAATCTTTTCGTTTGTCACAGGAAGTAGAAAGGGAGAGAGCTGCTCGATCAGACTTGGAAAAGACTGTGCATGTGCATTCTACGGCTGTATCTGAGCAAGCTCCAGTAGCAAGGCGTAATTCCATTTCGGAATATGGTATGGTGCTTCATATTATGATGTAGATGATCTTATGCTGCTTTTTACTTATCATGCGACTTTGGTGCAGGAAGCTTGTCCCGGAGACTCTCTACTGCTAGCAGCCTAGGAAGTATGGAGGAAAGCTATTTTCTGCAAGCATCTTTGGACTCATCTGATGGTGTATCCGGAAAGAGAAATATTGGAGAGGCAACCTTAAGTCCACTCTACATGAAAAGCATGACACCCAGTGCGTTTGAATCGGCCCTTCGTCAGAAGGAGGGTGAACTTGCTTCCTACATGTCTCGTTTGGTATGCATTCTTCTTCTTTGAGCTCCTGAATTCAAGTATAACCATCGAGTCCTTGACTGCATGTATAAACTGTGCTGAATAAATTTCAAGCTGTGGGCCGTATCTGTTCTGTTTAATTAGCTTATATCAACTAGCTTTATTTGGTGTTTACTTCAGGCTTCCATGGAATCTATCCGTGACTCTCTAGCCGAGGAGTTGGTCAAAATGACTGCACAGGTGAGTTTTCCATCTGGTACCTAGTTAAATGGGAGTGATTATTTTCTACTGTGTTCTTCTCAAATCATTGCCTTCTACATTTGCCGCAGTGTGAAAAGTTGAAGGCAGAAGCCGCCACAGTGCCAGGAATCCGGGCAGAGCTAGAAGCCTTGAGGCGGAGACACACTGCTGCGCTGGAGCTAATGGGTGAACGGGATGAAGAGGTACGTGCGTTTCTAATTTTGGATTCTCTCTTTTCTAGCTAACTAAATTTTATTTTCAAGGATGTGTTGGAGCTTATATATGTTATGTTGATGTATGTTATCAATCTATCACTTGAGCAAGAGACAATATTAGCTTTGCTGAAGTAATATGAGGATAGAAAATGAATGTTCAGAATCTTGACAGTGTTTCGAATATCTTATATCCTCGTGTTAATGTACGTCCGACTCATTATGGTTTCCCTATAGGAAAATTAGAATATCATATGATATCGACGTTATCAATAATGTTCTTACATTTATGTGGTTTCCACTTTCCAGCTGGAGGAACTCCGAGCTGACATTGTAGACTTGAAGGAAATGTACAGAGAGCAAGTAAACTTACTTGTGAATAAGGTATTTTATTTTGTTTTCAAAACTTTATCTCAATTCATGTATAACATTATAATTTGTATTTCCTGTCGGTGTTTGACAGATCCAAATAATGAGTTCTTCGTCGGGTAATTCTTCGTAAGCGATTATTTTCTTCTTTGTTTGGTGGGGTAATTTCCAAAAATAAAGGATGTGCACGATATACTTTATGGTCAAGTGTTGGTTATAAAGAAATTTTGTTGTTAAAACTCAAACTAGTTGAAACATGTGTTTTGTTGATGAGGAGCCTACCCCTTCAATGATTTTTCTTCTTTGGTTTGGTGTAAACAACAATTCTTCCATCTGGAATCTGTTTTGTTCCATTAGCCAACAATAAAATTGATTCTATTTCCTATTTTTTCCCAATCAATTACATAAATAGAAGGAATAAATATTGTTTATTTTGAATATTTATTAATTTTGTACTTGAGTTTTCTCTAATTTTTCCAAGGAATGTTGTCAAAATTAGCCCCTAACATTTGTGAAAATGGTCATTTTGACCTCTATTTTTCTTTGGGGAGCATTTTGGTCTCCATTCTTTTACTAATAATATATTATTTATAAACATATTTAATTTTACATCTTAATTTATAGTTTGGTCTCTATCTTATATTTCTTTTTATTCATCTTAATAAAAGGTGGAAACAATTTAATTTTATTCATCTTAATAACGCACTTTACTTTTTAGAAGGGTGCGAATTGGAGTAATTTCACCAGTATTTAATTATGATGTCTTCTATTTATTTCTTTATTTTTAATTAATATTTTTTATTAAATTGTATAATTTCAATTTGTATACTAGATATGTATAAAAAAATTAATGTAATTATTATTTTAGTAATTATATTTTTCAAAATAGTGCAATACTCAAACACACCTTTAAAAAAATAAAACAGAAAAGAACTATAAGCAGTGGCTAATGTAACTTGTCGAAATTTATACAGATTCTATAAACATATTTGAGTATGGTAAAAAAAAAATTCGACCATATGTTATCTTTTTGCTTAAACCTTTAATCACATCGAGCATCTTCATCAAAAATCAAAGTAGATATGTGTTTGATAACTTGTTTTTAAAAGTACCAACTATTAAAAATTGAGTTTTTTAATTTTTAAATAAAATGTTAAAATTTGAGATTTTTAATTTTTATAATGTAACTTGTTTTAATATCGTAAGTCGGTAGATCTTTTAAATAAAATTTAAAAATTTTAATTTTGATATTGATATTATGAATGAAACAAATTAAATTGAGATTGAAATGGTATCTCTTCAAAGATGTTTATAATATTTAACTCGGTTATTATAAACAAATCATGTTTTAGTCTTTGATTTAGCTTATAATTACTAAACAACAATAATAATAATAAATATATTCAAACTCATTGAATAAAGGAACTCTTTTCCATTGTCGAATTAGGAAAAGAATTCAATATTTATATACCTAGTCTCTCTGTATCTGTATACATATCTATCTATCCTGTTATACATACGTTGGAAAGAGTTGATCAAGAAGATGGCTTCAACTTTGAAAATCCTCTTGTTTGTTCTTTTGATTCAATCTGCCATATTGACTGAATCTTCTCAACACTCCAAGTCGAAGAAGAAGATTGATGGTTATATTTAACGTCATCGACTTTGGAGCTATCGGAGATGGAGCTAATGATGATTCTCAGGTTTGGTTTTTCGTTTTTCTTTTTATGTTTATATATCTGATACTGACATCAACTATCTTATTATAAACTATTTGTGCGTTTGTATAAATTTTAGAGCTTTATGCAGGCATGGGATGCTGCTTGCGATTCCTCAGCTTCGTCACCAACGGTACTTGTACCTCAAGGAAAGACATTTCTGCTGCAACCCTTAAGTTTCAATGCCAAATATTGTAATTCCAATAGAAAAAGTTCAAGAATAATCGGATTTCGATAGTAAAGTATAATAGTGAGGTATACCAGGTGAGTGCATTTATTATGTTCATATATAATATGAGGACGACTTGCGATAAGTCAACCTCGAATGTTTTTATAAAAACATGTTTTACCGTATATTGAAATATTTTCATAAGATTTATGAAAATGATTTATGGTGATTTTAGGGTATTAACTGCCTTAAAATAGATGGATAAACTTTTATATTATTTTAACATCTATCAACGTTTCAGAATAAATGTTTAGTATGTGAATTTGATTTAAAGGCCTATTGTATGTGCATTGAGAGTCATAGATGCATTTTGACATACTTGGAGGATTATGGTTATCGGTCGATTTTGTTTAATGCATATGTTGCATTTTCGTATAAGTACCTTTGTGTACTTTCGGCATTATGTGTGGTTATCGATAAATTTTGTTTAATACATATGTTGCATTTCTGTATCAGTACCCTTGTGTACTTTTGGCACTATTTGTGCATGTATGGTATTCATAACATTACTTTCCAGGTATTCCCATCTTTCTCTTGGATTCAAATGTGTTAATTACAAACTGTTTCTTATATTATTAGTTTTTGAGAAAACTCTGTGCTGCAGATTGATGGCAAAATCATAGCTCCAAGCAAACCTTCAGCATGGCAATGCAGACCAGATTGTGAGCATTGGATTAGCTTCAAAAGATTTGATGGTCTCTCCATTCAAGGATCTGGTATCATCAATGGCCAGGGTTCTAAATGGTGGACAATTTCTTGCAAAAATAAGAATAAAAACTGTCCAAGTCGAAAACCCACAGTAAGTGTTCGAATTTCATGTTCTTAAACATGATTTATGGCAGATATATTCTCCGGTTACATGAAAATCATGTGGGGTTTCTTCCCTTTTTTAGGGTTTAGGGTTTGGTGATATGTGAGAGATATATTCTCATGTGTGGTTTCTTGTTTTTAGTGTTTGGTGATAGCAGACTCCAACAATGTAAAAAATAATGGATTAACCTTTGAAGACAGTCCACAAAAGCACATTGCATTGGAAAGGTCTACTTCGGTTCATGCTACTAAGCTTACTATCATAGCCCCCAAGACAAGTCCCAACACCGATGGCATTCATATTCAACATTCCACCAATGTTTTTATTCACAACTCCAACATTCAAACCGGTTTGTTTGTTATTTATATGTTGTTTTTTATTTCATTATATATACTTTTTAACATTATTGTTTTATCTATTAATATAGGTGTTGATTGTATCTCTATCGGAAATGGTTCTAAATATATTAACATTACCAAAATCGAATGCGGTCCTCGTCATGGAATTAGGTAAGAAAATTTCATGTTTCTTTTGCAATGGTCTTTCTTTTATTGATGAAATTAAACGTGTACTAGTCTTAATTTCTATTTTTTTGTGTGTGATATGAAGCATTGGAAGTCTTGGGATTAACAGAAAAACCGAGAAAGTTGAATATGTTAATTTCTAATTTCATGTTAATGTGAAGTTGAGGTTATATGTAATATACTATTTACTAAAATCTATATCAATTAAATTATTTATCAGTATAATATGAACATGGTATGATACAAATTTAGATTTTTGTTGTCCTTATTTTTAAAGGAATTTAATGATAAATTTATTATTGTAATTTATTTTTAAAAGATTTTTAAAGTTCTAGGCTTTTTTCCTATTGCTCTAGAATGATTATAAGGTAGTATGTGCTCGGAAGACTCTCAACCATTTGACAATGAATGCTCAAACCCCCTTGTAGGCGTCTTCTCGAACTTGAGATCTCTAGATATGATAACAATTCCTTTTACACTAAGGTCTCTTGGTTCATGCAAAAAAAGTTATAGACTTAGTTTGTGGATTTTGATACATTTTCGGTGAAACAAACATCAGATTCGCGTTCAGAAGGTTAGAAAGGAATGAACTAAAAAAATTAAGATCCAACAACCATCTTGATAGCGGTGACCGGTAACGGTAACCAACAATTGATGACAGGGGATTTTGAATGAATTTAGAGATCAATTTGATATTTTATCTAAAGTTCAATGGTCAAATTAGTATTTTAACTAAAGTGTAAGTTCAAATTAATATTCTATCTAAAATTCAGAGATCAAATTAAAATTAAAATATTTTTATTGACTTACATGTAACTAAACTAACGAGAGTTAACGTCTCAATGACTAAAATAAGAGATATAAAAAATATAGTATCCAAAACGTAACTTTTCAAAATGGGTGACTTAAATAAAACAGACTAAAAATAAAAAGTACCACGAGTGTATTTCACCCTTACATTTATTATTACATACATAGTGAGAAGGGGTGAATCCCACGAGATAATGTTCTCGAACTTTTTTATTCACGAGATAATGCACATCCCAGATTAATTGCTGAAATGGGGTGAATTCTACAGTGAACTTGGAGGTCGCCATGGCATCCGGGCGACCTTGGAGGTCGCCATGGCATCCGGGCGACCTTGGAGGTCGCCATGACATCCGGGCGACCTTGGAGGTCGTCATGGCATCCGAGCGACCTGTGAGGTGTTTTGCAAAGGACCAGGTGTAGGTCGTCATACAATCAAATAGTGTGGTGTTTTCAGATTCAATTTTTAAAGCATTTTTAGTCTATTATTGTATTTTATTTACATTTATTTATAATATACCTTTAGGCATATTTGTTTCTCTGTTTAATTTTTAAGATTAACAGAGTTGTGTGTATATATAGAAATTTATTATTGAATTTAGAGAAAAAAGATTAATTATGAAGTCTAGCATTTGTATTGGAATGTCCAGCGTGAAACGTTGTTGTAGGTCGCCATGCACGTCCCAACACGTTGGGCATCTGAGGCCATCCGACCGAGGCCATCCGAAAGCATCCGATGCCATCCGAGAGCATCCGAGGCCATCCGAACGAGCTATGTGAGGGCATCCGAACGAGCTATGCGAGGGCATCCGAGGACAACCGAGCGAGCTATGCGAGGGAATCCGAGCAACCGAGCGAGGGTAGGTCGCCATGAGTACAAGGTCGCCATGTACTCCGGGCGACCTACCCTCGCTCGGTTGCCCTCGGATTCCCTCGCATAGCTCGCTCGGTTGCCCTCGGATTCTCTCGCATAGCTCGTTCGGATGGCCTCGGTCGGATGGCCTCGGATGCCCAGCGTGTTGGGGCGTGCATGGCGACCTGGTAGGTCGTTGGGCGTGCATGGCGACCTACCCAGGGACTGTAGAGATCACCCTATCTGAGCAATTAATCTGGCGAGGGCACTATCTCGTGAAAAAAAAAATTTCAACGCATTATCTCGTTGATTTTGCCAGTGAGAACTCTGGGAATCTATTAAAAAAATAAACCAATAAAAGAATACATTTGGAGTGTTTTGTGTTATACGTTCTGACACGTGGCATTTCAAACGCGCGCGTTAGCATCGTAGACTTTCATATGTCTCCAGAAAAGAAGGCGTTTTCGATTCGAAATAGTTGCGTGGATTTCCTTTGCTTTGTTCTCACTCAGAAAGAAGCTGACACTTTTCTCCCCCAAAAAAATCTAAAAATACAAAAAGGTTGAAAGTGCGTACGTTAGCAACAATCATCAGACACATCCCTTCTCGGCTCATTTTACTCTCCTGTCTGTTACTCTGTTACCATCTCTCTTTTCTCAAAGCTCTATAATCTCTAATAATTTTCGCCATTATCGGATCATCCTTCAAAAACTAATGCTCTCGTAGCTAATTACAGGTATTCTCTTTGTTCTTCCTTAGACGACGTGGCGTTTCTGTTATGCTTATTTTCTTCTCCTTGAATCTGTTTCTTTCTTTCAATGCCGAACCACTAAATGGCGATTTCTTTAACCTTCCGATCTTTTCAATTGCTAAATCCACCTCTGCTCTGTTTCTCAACCATTGATTGCGTTCTATCTATATTCATCGATCCTTCGCAAACGATGCCGTTCCATTAGTGCTTTCCAATTTCCATGGTCTTCTTGAATCTGAAATCTGTCTCCTTCTTTAATGCCGAATCCCTAAATATTAAGTTCTTTAACACTTGATCTTTCCAATACGTTTCCGTTTCTCAGCTAAATCCTCCTCTGCTCTGTTTCTCAATCATTGATCTATTTGACCTGTTATCTTTTTTTCTCCATTGCTTGATCCATGAGAAACGTCGACGTTCTGGTTGTTTCTAACCGCCGCATATCAAGTAGAGTTAAATATATATGTTTTAAATTTCTAAGCTCCGTAATTTGTTGATCTCTCAATTTAGTCCTTTACTTACATTATTTAAAGATTAAAAAAACTTGGATTAATTAGATCAACTTCTATTTCAATTAATTTTGCAGAGCAGTCGGAGCAAAATTTTCTATTTTCTGTTTCAATTCTTGAGTGGGTGTTTATAATAATCTGTGGCAGTGCCAATGCGGGGACGACACGATGCTTATTCCATGTACAAGCGCGGTATCAGAGACCATTCTTTCGATGCCTATGACAAGGAGCAGGGTTCAGGTATTCTTCATTTTATATTTTTCTCTCTCCTTTTATGAGGTTAATTTTGGGTTTAGGTCATGAATTTATTTGTGAGGCATGCAAATAAAGTTCTCATTATTATTCTGTCTCTTAATTTGGAAGCTGCAAGTTGTATATTTTTTTTCTGTGATTGAGATGATAAAAATAGTTAATAAAAACTAATTAGGAAGCAATTTATATTTTATATAATAACCTTTTAAAAAAAAGTGCAAGTTGCATGAAGTTGAAACGTGAAAGCTATGTTTTTGCATTCTTATGTTCTGGGTTTTAGTACCTCATCGCTAGCATGCATTATTTTCTCTGGTTGAGCCTGTTCTTCCTGAATATACCGATTCAAGGCCAAATAATTTCCTGCGCTTGACAGCTATGATGTCTCAACCCTTCGTTTTTCGTGAAGTACCAGTGAGCGCTTTCCAAATACATGGAAAACTCAGAAAATATTGAACATATTTGTATCAGGCTAATGCCTCTTCCAAGTAATATAAAAGTCATTTTTGATTCAAACCAATTAAGACGGGGAGCATTTATACGTTTGACAGTTTCGAAGTCATTTTTAAATGAGTGAAGGCACTCTTTATTAGTTTCAATAATATTCTGTGTTTTAAAAAGCGCGCCTGAGGCGCTTTGAGGCGCTAGGCGAGGCGAGGCGTTTAGAAGAAAGCCTCCGACCACTAAGGCGGCGGCGAGTACATGAGGCGGCGATTCAGTTGTCAGAGGCGGCGAGAGGCGACGAGGCGATGCTTTTGGCGATTCACGTACAATGACCCATTTCTTTCCTTCTTTCATTTTAGCAGCGCTTTGCTGTTGCTGTTCTTTCTCATCCTTTGGCTTGGGTTTTCGACCTCTCTTCTTTGGTTGTTGTTGTTGTTGAGATTGGGGAGACTCCATTTTTTAGATTTGTAGTGTTGCTGATACTTTAAAAGCAAAGAAGGGGAACCCACACACAAGGAACTGTTGGTTTCACTTTCAAGAGACCAGAGGCTGAACCCCTAGTGCCTCCTACCGGGATTGTGATGGAAGAGAGCGAGAATACTAAAAGCAAAAATAAAAAAAAGTGGTAATGATTTATCTGGGTAACTCTGTTTCAAAGATGGTGATTCACACCAAATCTGTTCGTATATTTTATTCGAGTCTATTTAATTAATTTTTTAATGTTTTTCTTATATAATCTGTGTGTGATGTTAAGGGTTAATAATTATAAAAAAATATTAATTGTCATGTGTTTTAATTTGCGATTGTAATTATAATTTTTTTATATTTTAAACGGCTGTGATTAAAAATTTTTATTATAATTTAATTTTTTTATTTTTAATAAATTAACAGTTTTTATCTTGTTAAAAAAATTAAATGATGGCTTACGAGGTTATTTTTTATAGTATAAAAACTATATAATATAATTTACACTAAAATAATATTCATGATTCTTATTTTTATTTTGGAAATTAAGATTAATTTATTTATATTACGGATTAAACAATCATTGATGTTGTGTAAAATTAAATCTTGCTTTATTTTACACAACAGTATATTATATATATATATATATATTATATATATATCATACCTCACAAAATTAAATCTTGATTTATTTATATGTTAATAGCGGATTGGTGGTTTGTATATGGAGCCTCAGCACCGGAGTTACAGAAATTTGCAATCCGAGTTCTTAGCCTAACTTGTAGTGCTACGGGTTGCGAGAGGAACTGGAGCGTTTTTCAACAACTTCATTCAAAAAGAAGAAATAGATTGGCACAAAGTCGTTTAAATGGCATGGTGTATGCCAAGTTTAATTGTGCTTTGCGACGGAGATATCAAAGAAAGGACACCACAGATCCTATTCTTTGAAGGAAATAGATGAAAGCAACGAGTGGTTGATGGGCCATATGGACGATGAAGATGGTGAGGAGGACGACTTTGTCTTTGATGGAGATGATTTAACATGGTATGCTGTTGCTAAAGCTTCCG